AAAAAATGCGTGAACATGACTCATTATTTTGAGTAGTTTATTATTCTTATGCGAAAACATATATTCTAACAACTTTTCTTTACTGTTTTCAAAAGTATCTAAATTACTAGCATGCAGTGCCTCAAATTTCCACATAGGCACCTTCGTTGTCGATACACTTGTGTAATCGAACTTCAACATTGTTGATTGAATTCTTTAGAAATTCTTGTGGAACATTGCTAAGGACAGTACGAATTCGTTCTTCCAATTCCATGAAAGTTCTTGGATTCGTTTTATATATCTCTTCTTTTGCCCAATCCCAAAGAAAAAAGTCACACAGAGTTAGATCCGGACTTCTTGGGGGCCATGATGTTGGTCCTCGTCGACCTATCCATTTCGAAGGAAAATGATTGTCAAGCCAATTCCGGACTGTACGAGTATAGTGTGCTGGAGCACCATCGTGCATAAATATGAGTTCATCAATGTTGTTCCATTGACTGATTGTAGGCCATACAAAACTTTCTAACATCTCCAGATATCGTTCACCATTCATGGTATCACGTAACAGATATGGACCAATAAATTCCGTTGAAGTAAATCCACACCACACTAGGATTTTTGGTTGTGATTGGATCCTTTCAATTGTCATACCTGGATCTTTATTAGCCCAATAATGACAGTTATGCCGATTGACAAACCCTCCAACATGGAAAACAGCCTCATCTGACCATAAAATATTATCAAACAGTTCAGGCCAGTCGTCTTTCCAACTAAGCATAATTTCACTGAATTCCATACGAATGTCACAGTCTTCTGGAAAAATCTGTTGTACTAAGTGAGGTTTCCATGCACTATAGTGTAGTTCTTTTGTCAAAACAGCATGAATGGTGCGATATGACAAACCGCTTCCTATCGAGGCTGTTCTAATGGAGGTCGCTGGACTTCGAGTGAATATTGCTTGAACGGTATTAACAACTTCTGGTGAGTGAGAGGTTGAACGTCTTCCAGAGCGTTCCATGTCATATACCGAACCAGTTATCATCAGCTTCTGATGACAATTTTTGATGGTTTTTGCATCAAGTGTCAAATGTTTGCCGCGTTGATTCCTCCACCACCTTTGTACTTCAATCACCGACTGCCACATCTCATATCGAGTCGCAATTAATACTCGATCTTGAATACTTAAACGCTTAGGCATATTAATTTATCTAAGCCCAAATGATATTATACGTTAAATAATGAGAACTTGTTATGATATTTGTTGTCGTGTAGAATTAATCAATGATTTCTATTAGAGTTTGTTTTCTCTAAGAAGTGTCTATTCTTTTTGTTTTATTGCGCTCTGGGCTGTGTATATGTACACGTGTACTTGTTTCTATTTTTCTTTTTCTCTTTCTGCCGATGTATAGTCTCATGTCCTTTTCTTTTTTCTGTTCGTCTACGAGAAATGTTGATATTCTCAAATTCTTTTATCTTGTGCCCCTGTTCTACTTTTTACTGTTAGCTTTTACGTATTGCGCAATTATAAAAGAAATATATAACATAGTCCCGCTCCCATTACCATCTTGCGAAGTAAAGAAATAAAACCATTGTTCTTATTATTCTGGCTGTTACTACAGATGTGCCTTGGTAACAGATTCAAAACAATGAGTCATGTTCACGCATTTTTTAGATCAACTTTATGGTTCATCT